AGCTTTTGGTCTTCTCCATAAACGCACAAGATGGTCAAATTCAAATCCCATGACAGGCCTTCCTTTGGTCTTCCCTTTCAGCTGAAATGAAGGGAAATATAAACATGTTGAGACAGTGTATTAAAAATGATCTGTGACCAAAATATTTGATTAACACATAATATAAGGATGCGTTCATTAAAGCAAATCAGTTTTAACTAAATGTCTTTAACATTACCTTTGAATGACTTGTTCAGCCTCCTTGACTGCTTCTTCAAGATCAGCACTGGGAGCATCGAGTTGAAGTTCCCTGTTAATTCTAGCAGAGAGAGAATGTTGTAGTTATTATGCTTTAGTAGCTACAAATACCACAGTAAAACTACGATTACTGAGGTAACGTTAAGCCCATAGTGAGTGTTGTGGTTATTATGCTTTAGTAACTACAAATACCACAGTAAAACTACGGTTACGGTGGGAGAAGCATGGTAAATATGTTGTAGTTACTGTGCATTGGCTACACATGACATGGTCGAGCAACAGTTAGGCTACTATGGTAAAAATATGGTAAATGTGTGGACTTTGATCATGATTATCACGCGATACCAGGTTGGTTGATTTATTGTGCTGTCATCAGCCATGTCTAAAATCTGAAGACCCATGTCACAACATGATTAAAAACGGTTTTATTTATTTATTTATTTCAAACTGCAACAGGTCTATATACAGTAGAAGTTAGCTTAGGCTAATGTCAATGGTAGGCTAGCAGCTGTGCTAACTGAGCAGCCCACTGTTCCATAATTTGAACGCATGCGCTGCCATTTTAACACATGACCCCATGTAACGTGATGCAGAAACACTGAAATAATTCAAATAATACCGTTAACCACATGATCTCATTACAAAAAAAGATCGTTGCCCTTACCTGTTTGAAGGTGTACGAGCATCAGGTGAACTGGACGAACTGAGCCTCGCTGGAGACGTCACTGTCGCTGAAGATGACGCGTGGTATTTGGACGCATCTGCTCTCCACTGAAGTTAATGTGAAGGATTGGCGTATCATATGCACGCAAAATTGGCATTTGGCGTATGCATTACACGCAATTAGAAAGTGTAAAGTCGTGTTATTTATACGCAGACTGATGAGAACGGGTTGGAAATCCTCCATCTTCCCCAGTTCCACCTGTATAGATCTGCTACGATGTATTCATGTATGCTGGGGGTTATTTAATGTATGTTATATTTGCAGCAGCAATATTTCTTACATGCTCACAGCAGTATGTTGTGGATGTATTGACAGTAGCAAATCTCGGGACTTGCTCTGCCGCAGCAGCGTAGCAGATCTGTTCCGCCAAGACCAAACATTAACATTGTCATGTACATTACCATGCCAATCCCTCCGAAAGTTGCCATGACAGAATTAAGAGTTTTTCCCAAATCAAGGGTTAGAATTAGTTAGTTACATTTAATTTAATCTAATCATTAATCAGTTACACTTCAGTGAAGAACTTTCAGCTTCCAAAATAATTATTGGCTTTTTTAGAGTCAATATGAGATTCTCATCTGTTTTATCACTCTGTAGTCTTCTGTGAATATCACTTTCCAAAAGCATCTTTGAACAGTTTATGGTCCCAAGTTAATGAACTAGAGAGTAGAGGATTTATGAAACATCATCTTGGCGCCCCTGAACTACTACGAGTTTAACAGTAGTGTTTAGGTCCCCGGCTGTCTTCATTTGCTGCTAATAAACAGAGTTTGTGGGGAGCTATGGAAGCACCTACCCATCTGATGTGTAATCATTTCCATTCTCTTTCTGGTTTAGCCTGGAGAACTGGTGCAGTAGAGCTTGCCAGTATTGGTTAGTGAGGATGCAGATACAGAAACCACAAAAACAACATTTAACTTCAAATCCCTGGTATTTTGTAACAGGTGACTGACAATACAGGAACAGACTCAATGGCTTTTGTATAAAATTTTAAAGTGTCACATAAAGAATTGAAGCACATGTGCCTGATGAGCCAGTTTTGAACACAAGCTTCACATTTACTCTGAGGATAGACACATTTGGAAGACACTAGATATCTTCATACATTCATATCGCCATTGTTTCTGTGTTTTCCAGTGTTGTTTTAATTTCCATTTGAGTCCATGATGCTTAGCCTAGCACTTAAAAAACGATTTCTAAAAGTTGACAGAATATCTGCTGTCACAACAATTTTTTATACCACAGACTTTGCATGTTATATCTAATATGACATGAGTCAAATTAAAGCTTTTATAACGTGCCTCTGATATCTATGGTAAGATACAGATGACTAAATTCTGTTTAAGTCAGATTCACAAAATCTCAATTTAACTTTGATTTCGATTTGAATCCAACTGAAATGTTCCCTGATAATGTCATGTTTTCTCTCAGCTGTTCGGGATCAGGACTAGCGATGATGTTTCAACACTCATGCACTGAATTGTTTGCAGCAGTTTCTCACACCAAAATAGAACAGGATATTTTATAAGCCGTAAAACAAAAAGAGCACTGGAGGTGGATATTTACATACATTCTATTAAACAAAACTTGCAGATGTCTTCTATCGTTTGTCAGGGAGGGGTGGGGGGATCTGGGCACCATTACTAAAGAAGGCTATAAATGATTCAGGTATGTTTCATTTGTAATGTCCATTTTGCTTACATTGTCTTGCATTAGAAATATAAAGATAAAACTTTTCTTGCTGCTAATACTGTTACATAAATTTCACAGAACAGTGTTTCAGACTGATTCTATAGAAACATGTTTCAGCCATGGGGGAAAAAATTTAAAAAGGTAATTATGACTTTTTATCTCACAATGAGCTTATACCTCAAAATTCACACTTTTTCCGCTTGCAGAGATAGAGACTTGCAATTCTGAGAAAAATAGTCAAAATTATGAGATATAAACTCACAATTGTGAGTAAAGAAAAAGTTCTGTAAAAAAAAAATTTTTTTCATTTTTTTTTTATTTAGTGTCAGAAACAAGCTTCAATACAAACCAGTACTCATAATAATATTATTATTATTCATTAAAAGAACTGGCCCATTTCAGAAACTGGTCTACACAGGTCGTGCACTTGTGCTGTATGCGTCTTAAAGAATTCATTTAGGGCTATGTTGGTTGTGCTGTATGTTTTTGATTCATCAAAAAAAAGTCGTTTGTGTGTGAAACAGAGACTGCACTTCATTTGTCACATTGTTTGTTTTTACATGCAGACCTCAAGGATAACTCAATAGAATACATTTTTACTGCTATTATATTGGCAGTGTTTTTAATATGTTCAGGTAAAATATGATTTCTTTTGCTGTGGCTGAAAAGATTCAACAGCGGGGTACTGAATTTTTTTTTTGAGATATTAGCACATAACACCACGCATGAGAGTGAACCATAAAGCAAAAAAGCACACAGAGTTCAGACAGGGTTAAATCTCAGGTCAGGACATAATGTCTTCCATATGCTGATAGAGTTAATGACATGTATGCACTCTCGTCTTTCCTCCATCAACACAGAGCACTAAATCTCTGATCGCTCCCCCATGCAGGGGTTGATTCATTGCAAGGGCGATCCGAAGATATCTGTGCCTGTTCTCTGCTTCCTCTGTGTAGCAAATGTGCCCTTATGTGGAGTAGCATATCTGATTTGTTCTGCTTTCAGTTGTGGGCTGATTTTGTTGCTTAAGCAGTCAAATCAATGTATGGAATCAAAGCTCTCCACATCTCTCCACACAAAAGCGTGAGATTGAGTGGCAAGGAGCAACTGCAGCACTCAAGAACAGAACAGAGGTCTCCATTGGACTTTAGAAGTGTGTATTTGCCATATATACATGTATGCACATATGCAAATAAATGAACTAAACATGATTTTTCATTGTTCCAGAGTTCCTTTTATTTTTGAGAATTCAGTAAGGAAAGAGTGTGTA